GTCTGGAAAATGGCTATGAGTTAAGTGATTGTGGCACAAGCATGAGGGCTTTGGTCCCCAGCATCCAGGGGAAAAGCTGGGCTGGCACTGTCTGCCTGTGCTCTCAATTCCAGGCTTCAGGTTCAGGGAGAGAGCTTTAGAAAATATAGTGATAATGGAAGTCACCTGGCATTGACCCCCCAGCTTCCCATGTGCACAAAAAAAGTACACATGTACACAAGCAAACATATGCCCCAATGGTAATGTGGATTTCCTTGACCTTCAGCTCATGTTTTCACTCTAGAATGCTGATTTGCCTTCTGTAATAAGCCTCTGCTCATGACTCACTCCTCCTAGGATCAATGTGGAAGTTAGGGATTATTGTGCATCATTACAGAAATGAAGGACCTAAGGTCTGTTTTAGATATACTGTGTCATTAGAATTAATTAGCAGGGATTTCAGTTCTGACCATATTTTTCCATCCTTGATGGGGCAGACAGGGTCAGCACTTGAATACAGCTAGAGAGACATAAAAGCAGGCAAGGGTCTTTGATTCTTGGAAGCAATTTGCTGAGGTGGTCAATGGTCACTTATGAAGACAATGTATCCAGCCTAACACTAATAATAGTAATGGTAGCAACAGCCAGAAGTCACAGGAAATGCAGGAGGCCTTCCTGTGTCAGGCACTACAGACTAGTCTCCCCCCTGGTTCCATTCTACAGAGAGCGAAACTGTGGCAGAGGAATTTGTTCTTGTTATTGTTAAATCATTGGCCTGGGGAGCTCTTGTTGGATACGCCTTAGATAATAGCCTCTCTCCCATCACTCTCCTGTTTTGTTTGTTTGTTTGTTTTGTTTTGTTTGTTTGTTTTGAGACAGGGTCTCTCAATGTAGCCCTGGCTGGCCTGGAACTCAGAGAGATCTATCCAAGACTGGAATTAAAGGTGTGTGCTGTCCTGTCTGGCTACTATCACTATTTATGATTGTAACACCATTGGTTGGTGAAATCCAGTTGACTCTAGAAGCTCTGCAACAAGGTGACCTGGACCCAGCTCTTTTCCATTTGGCAATCCCACAGCACTGGAAATCAACTGTTTAATGACTGTCTACCCCGTGTGGATGCCTTGGACTGCAGGAGACAGGGTCCGTGGCACTGCAGGGACAGATTATATTAGATGTGATAGTAGGGAGGCACTGCCTTTCCCTTCTTGCAGCCTATAGTCATTTATTTACAAATGAAATTCCCAACTAAGATTCGTTCAACTCAAACTGGCCTTTGAGGTAAACTATTACTTAAGACTGTGGAACTCTTCTTTGTTAGCCTTGCAATGGAGTACTGTAATCATGCTGTTAGCTTACTCAGAATTTTTCCACAAAATTCTGCAGGTTTAATTTCCTAGTATCCACCATAGCTCTTGTAAAGCAGAAAATTTTCCCTCCTGTGCTATTCAAACCACCCAGTCCCTGAAGAGACTGCAAAGTCCTGAACTAGTTAGCATTATTATGCTACTTTGACAAATCTTGCCACCCAGGAGCAGCTTTGACTTACACTAAACAAAGAAAACCACACCAAATTGGGGTTTGCAAAAGACAGATGCCATACAGTTGAAAGGACCTGAGGGATAGGCTTAAGGATAGATAAGTTACAGTGGGCCCTAGGTCTGTGGGTTGTCATCTAAGGGTGCAAGCAACCATTGACAGAAAATAGCAGAAAATAAATGGCATCTCTACTGAACACAAGTAGAATGATTATTGTCATATCATTTGTGTTGTATTTGTGATTTATAGACAATTTACAGGTGGGAGAGTATTATTTCAGATGATATGCAAAGGTTATATGCAAACACTACACACCACACACACACACACACACACACACACACACACACACACACACACAATGTATAAAACATTTAATGTCTGAGACTGGACAACTGTGGATTGTGGTACCCTCTGAAAAGTTGTTGGCACAGATACAAGTTCATGTAAGAGCCTTTACCTGCATACACAGACATTTTTCCTTCAATAGTTGTGGTTTTTTTTTTTTTTTTTCTTTTTCAAAATCTCTATTCAATCAGAATCCTTGGTGTAAGTTGTGTCTTTTAAAGTTTCTGTAGTGAGTACAACAGGAATCCAGGGTTCAGCTGACTTTAAAAGAAAAATCCATAAGCTTTCAACTAGGGCCTATAAGAGGAAACCTGAAAACTTTTGTTAACAGTCATGTCCAACAGAACTTTGCAAACATGTTTAGTTTGTTCTATTGGTTTCCTAGTTCCCATAAACATTATCTAAGTGCTGCCATCTGTAAGGCATACGATACCACCAGAAGGGTGCCTAATAACCAGGAAGCATTAATGGTTTTTAGCCTCAAAATGATTTGGAGTCATCTGGCATGGTCTGTGTTGACAAGGATGCTTAAAGCATGATTTCTGTGTCTTCCTATGGGAAAACCACAGTGGGAAGGCCACATTCTCTGGCTTTTGACTTACTTCTCGTCTTTCTCATCACACTGTTACAAGATGGATTTATAACAGACCCAAAGGTAGTAGCAAAATGAAAATTAGTTCTTGGGTAGAATAGCAATCCCATTTGACTCGCCTGTAGCAACTGCGTCATATCTGCTTCTACGAGCAAGGAAATGACTTCTTAATGTGCATTTCTTCCACTAAGAAGAATTAAATCTGTATGGCAAAATGGAAAACCAGTTTGCTGGCAGCCAAATTCTGAAGGGAAGATCCATGACCCTCATAAAGATATTTGTGGCCTAGTTCTATGCTAATGAGCCTCATTTAGGCTCAGACTTCCTTAGTGTGGAAATACAGCCCTGCTGAAAAGCGAGGCTAATCTTTCCTGTATTTTTTGCCTTCCACATCTAAGTTGCTCTGAGATGAATGGGGGAAAGTCTTTGACTGCTGCAGGCTTTCAGGGTGGAGTCTCTGCAGCAGGATGAGGGTTTGGGGCCCAGGAGAATGAATATTACTCTTTCAGTTGAAATTTGTGTTTATCAGTATTGTATAGTGCGCGGGGGGGGGGGTGGTTAGGGATACATGCTGCAGCATGTGTGTGGAAGTCAGAAGACAACTGTGGGGAGTGATTCTCTCATTTTGCCATGGTTTCCAGTGATCAACTGGCATGTTTATGCCTTACCCATTGAGCATCCTAGACAACCTGTTTTGCTGAACTTCAAGGTTGTTTGCAAAGTATCAAAATTCAAAGTGAGTATATATGCAGTGAAATGAGGATGGTAACTATGGAATTGCCCATTTGTATAGATTCTCCAAGATAAAGGAAACTGGTTAGGGAAAATGCTGGCACCTGGCATTACCTACCTGGAGAAGTAAATGACTTTTCTGAGGGAAATCCACCCTGCCCCCAGTTTCCTTCAGGGTAAATGGAATTAAGTAGGAAAATGTAAAAATTATGTGAAATATGAGTATCAGAGAAGCTGCCCTCCAAATCATAAATGATGTCAGTCACCAAGTGCTATTCGACCCCCTATCTAGTCACTGTAACATGAGTCGCCACACATGCATCCTGTGAGCAGTTTCACCTTCAGCTTACTATGGCACATGCAAAGCCACATGATGAATAGCTATGGGAGATTAAGAGAGAGATTAAACTCTACTGAATAGGCATATTGTTCACTCTGCAGAAATCTTGAACGTATTTGCTCATAAACATATATTTGTGTAAATGTATAAATAAATATATGTGAATATATATTATATACATACATACATACATACATACATATGTTTATGTGGTCTATGGAGGAACTAAATTGACTAAGTTGTCGTTTTTCTATGCTATTTTCTTCTAGTTTCTAGTGTTACAGGTACACTTAGATTCATAAACCTGCTACTTCTTAAATGAGATTAGGAAACAAACTGAGAATGGAAAATGAATTCATTTACATTTTATCCAGACCCAGAAAGAAAGACTTAGTTTCTTGCTACTTCCTTTGCAACAGGGTTACAGCTTTCTAGGAAACATTAAAGAAAAGCCAGGAAGTTGCAACTATTAACCTGTCAGAAAATGAGAAATCTGGCTAATCCCTCCCCTGCTTGGACCAGAGCCTCAGGCTTCCCAGCTGAGGACTGCTGGGTCCATTTCTTTTTTTTCAATAGTGTGATAGCCAAAGGGAGGGGACTTGCATGACTCAGCTCAGAATGTTTTCCTGTCATGGCACATGCAATAACTTGGAGTACATAAAAGACTGTTAAGCCAGAGAGAGTGAGAGATAAGCTGCAGGTCAGAGTGGAGGACTGAGGCGAACAGGAAACAACTTCAGTCAAGGAAGACAACGATTACATGGTACTGACAATCAAAAGAGAATGGCAGGGTGTAAGGAGCACGGCTTTTCCTCCCGCTGCCAGTCTTGTCCTGCCGCCGCGCCAGCCCCAAATAACACACAGAGACTCTGTATTTGATATTATACTGTTGGCCAGTTACTTGTTTCTTATCAGCTTGCTCTGTCTTAAGTATTAACCCATTTCTATGTATTTCCACGTGGTCTTATCTTACCGGGGAGCCGGCTGGCATTTTGCTTTTTCCAGACTCTCCATCTTGACTTCTCCTTCCTACTTCCTCTTTCCTCCTTGTCTCCTAGTTCCGCCTATCTTGCTTTCCTATTGGCCAACAGTGCTTTATTCATTAACCAGTATAAGAAACATATATACACAATGGCATCTCCCATCAGCAGGGCGATAGGAGCTGTATGGAATGGCAGGATACCCTCAGCAGCTCCCGCTTTACACAGCCTGTCTGTCCCAGGCACCTGCTCATCAGGCAAGCACCAGGCAGCAATAACACCAGTTAAGCCTGATCTTGTTATCTTATTAGAGAAGCAAGAAATGTCACTTCTTATGTGAAACTCTTTATTTTCAAAATTGGGCAATTAATGTAATTAAGATACACCTACGGGCCTCTAATTTGCAAATTATTTTCACTCTTTCCCCTTTACCCAACACTATTCAAATTCTCATGGATTCTTTAATGAGCCTATTCTATTTTCCCCAAAGCTCCAGAAACATGACAAAGAGGAGGAAGACTCCCCAGCCCTTTGGAGATCTGAGGACGAGATGGCTGCAGAAGCTGAGGAGCTGCGTGTCTACTTTCAGGTAAGCATCAAGTTCTTCGCCTTCACCATGATCCCCTGATGGGCCTCAGGAAATGAAAGATGATGGCCTATGAAGGACCTGAAAGCTATGTGAATACAGTCTTGACCCATGTGGGATTGATTACCCCTTCTTGCCACTGTTGTAGGCATGGATAGGAATCCAGAGAGAAAGTCCCAATATTTCCAGGTTCTTGTGTCCTGAAACAAAGAACTAGACTAGGGGTCTGGTAACCGGTAGAGATAGAGGTAATTTATTAGTAAATAGAGCACTTCTGAGTATGCAAGCAGACCAGACGGCTGGGGAAGCTACAGTCTCTGATAGGCTCAGCCAGGAGAGTGTTGAGCCTTTATGGGCCATCTGAGTAACATCAACCTCTCTGGCACTATTTATGTTTGCATAAATCTCACTACTGTACATTGGTATAATTGGTTTATTTTGTTATTGATATCTCACTACACTTCACTAATTAACTTTTATCAGATGTACAGAATAACATTGGGTACTGTCTCTAGTTTGGGGCACAATTGGAGATCTTGAACAGAACCCCCTACAGATGGAAAGAAAACTGTTGGGTACTGCTTTGATATGAAATGTAAGGCAGCATTAACTAGCCTTTCTCTCCCCTGCCTTACTGTTAAAATATGTTAGTTACTTAATGTCTCAGGGTGCTGTCCCTTCTAGTGACTTGTTGAAAGTTTTTGAAGATTCAAGCTAGAAAGAGTACATGTACATGAATGCCTCTTTCTAACAGGTTTTGTGCTTTTTTTTTTTTTTTTTTCCCCTGGGGCAGGGGTTGGTTTTCAAGACAGGGTTTCTCTTTTGGAGCCTGTCCTGGAACTCACTTTGTAGAACAGGCTGGCCTCTGCCCCCCCCCCCCGAAGTGCTGGAATTTTAAAGGCATTTCCCAGGTTTTTGTCACCATCACAGAAAGAATTTGGAGTAGACAATGCAAGGGTATTAGTTGAAATAACCTACTTAAAGGGGAAGTACCTGTATAGACACAAGAAATTAGAGAAAAAATATTTGATGAGTCAATTTGAATGCAAGGGAGGATTATTCAAGAGTTAAGGAAGGAAATTCAGGAACCAGTAATTACTCTCTCTCTTTCTCTTTTCTAACTTCTTATGTAATTTTTGGATGTGTCATGGGGCAGATGTGAGCAAGCAATTTTACAAGGCTAGTGACAGGACTGGCGCGAAGCAGAGGTTATTTGGTGTTCTCAGTAGGCCATGTTGGTATCAGCCATTACAGTGGCCTGGTGGTCTCTGCTTCCTCTATGCCTTTCTGGCTCCTCAGTTCAAGCAGGACCACCACAGCCAAGCACTGCAAAGTTCAGTTTGTTCCTCCATGCTTGAGTCAAGTCTGTGCTCCTTTCCATGGAGGAGTGCAGAGAAGTGTAGCAGATGCTATCAGTCATATTTTATTTTTAACCTCACTCCTCACCTTCTCTTCTGTCTGAAGAGAAAGGATTGATAATGAACACTGTTTTCTATTCCGTTCCTTTTTAGAAGTCTAGTTTGTCACTCTGGAATGCTCTGTTGAAATGAGGGTGTCACATCTTCAAGTACTATTAGACTGAAATTGTTTTTCTGGGCTCCCTGTACAATGGGTATTTTCAGGTATAGGCAAGAAAGCTCTGAGTTTTGTGAAGGCCTTTGTGGAATCGTAAGGGGTCTACCTAAGAGCAAGTCATCTGTACACATTAAGATTTTAAATTTTTTAACAGCTTCTGTCCTGAGTCCTGAGTTTACCTGTCTTCCAAGCAAGTCTTGCCAGAAAGATATCTGTCCTAGGCAGTCATACAAACTGTTGGGCACCATGCTTATTCATTGTTTTAATTAACTAAAACTTCCATCTTTCTTAAATGGGTTCTGATTACAGATTAAATAAATGACCTATTAGGCAGCCTGATGTGGGGACTGAGATTGGAAATAAAACACGGTAGCCACTGCTACTGATGTGAAGAGGGGACACTTAAACAGAGGGTCCTTTCCAAAGCATCACCACTACCTGCAGCACAAAGGGACTAATTTCCTTTCCTCTATACCTTTGGTCCTTAGATTAGTCCCTTTAGTTATTTGATGCTAGCCTCTCCATTTCAAATTCCTTCTTTATATTGAATTTGTAGATAGTGTTATCTAGACTAATAATGCAACATTTAGATTTGCCTGGCCTTAAGAAAGTATTTTTTATTTATGTGAAATTAAGATGAACTTGGCTTCCCCAGACTTTCCTGATAACACTTTCAGCAGCATATCTATCATGGGCAGGATGACTTGAAAGACTTGGTCTGTTGCTACTCTGCAAAATCTTGAAAATCTCAAGAGGCACAGTTGGAGGTAGAATGGGGACCAGAGAGGGATGACAGTCATCAATCCTTACTGAGAAGACACACACACACACACACACACACACACACACACACACACACACACAGTCATCAATCCTTACTGAGAACACACACACACACACAATAACCTATAATAAAACCTGAGCTCAGCCATGCTAATTTGTTCTGTGCTTAGTGGCTTAGGAGTGACAATATTCACAATGCCAACATAGCAATTCAACCCATAGGTGTCATTCTTAGTTGTTACAAGACTCACTCTTCCAGCCACTGAATACTTCCTTTCCCAGCTCCTATATCACCCCTGGAGGAGTCCTTTCATGCTCTTAGCCTCTCTGGTTTCCTTGGAAAGTGACTTTCCTCTGCTACTGAATTCTGTTGTTCTCCTGTGCGGAGTTGTAAAGAGCAAAGTGCCCTGCCCTCCATATTCACAACTGATTTTCCTCCACTTTCAGGTTTGTTCAAACTATACTGATTCTGATTAGACCGCTGTCCTTTCTTGTTCCTCTACCATCTGACCAAGTGCCCAAGTAATATGACCATGGGTGGGTCTAGTGCTTGCCTAACCTCATTCCTCCCTCTCTTGCCCTGTAAATTCTCATAACTTCTCTTTTCTTTGTGTAACCCATAGGGCACTGCTTACTTTCTATTTCCCTGATTCACTTTTTGCACCCCGAAGTACATTTATCTTAAACTGTGTATCTTGGCCTCAGTGTAAAAGCGAACATTGTGTCTAATTAGAAGTATAAGCATGAATAGGAAAGAGATGTGGTGCTTAGGAAATGCCAGCTCTCTCTAGTTGTTGCTCACCTACAACTGCCAGCACCAAGCTTCATTCCATCTTCTAGAAAGAGAGGCCAGTCATGTATTTGGCTTAAATTCCATCACTAAACTGAGACCCTGAAACTCCCTGCTTGACATATTTAGAAGTATTGTAATAAAGTAATCTCTGATACATTTAATAAGTCATTAATATTAATGACAATCAACAGTGATGATCAGAATGGAAGAGTAAACTGACCCCAAACCTTCTCCTCCCAGCATGAGGAGAAGATAACATCCATGGAAGAAAACCAGCTTCATTCCTTGGCCATTTTATTGCACCTGGATACAAGAGGCCCTACTGTGTCCCAACCGATTAAGTCTATGAAAAATTACTGCTTTGCCTAGGAGAATAAGCTTCTAGGTGAATTTCTTGACCATTCTGCTTGCTGAGAGTCTATGTTAGCCTTCAAAGAATTTGAGAGAAGAATGTAAACACCTATGGCTAAGACACCCTATAATCTATAGGACAAAGGAATATATATTATAGGCAATGAGATGCTCTGTCTATAAGGGTGTCTTATAAAGGTACAAACCCCACTCCATGTTTTCTTTGTGCATAAACTGAGGTGCTGTTAGGACCATATATTTAAAAAATTCCTGAAAACCACACATGCATATTCAGCCTCTGTCAATCATCAAGGCAACATTAGCTTACTCATATAGAGAATTTTTCAGTGTCCTCCCATAAGCCTCTGCAAGGGAGATGGTGATTTAGCCTCCTTCTTTATTTCTTTGTCCAGCCACAACACAACGAGGTCAGAATTTCTTGGGCAGTCTGAAAAGCAGACACTGGTATTATTGTGCCAGTGAAGACAGGAGCTCACTGGTTGCTGAATGATGCTATAGCTCTCTGGATGCTTACTTGACAGACCCCAATGGGGCTGGGACTTTAGTTCCAAAAACTCAGTGTTTCCTCTCTGCCTCTGTGAACTTACACATTGGCCCCCTGCACACTGGGCTGATTTCCAGGATGGACTTCGTCGTGTGACAGTGGTTCTGCATCTCTTTTCCTAATCTTGCTTCCTCCCCTAATTGTGATGATTCTCTCTGTAGATATTTAACACTTGGATTTGCTGCCTCTCTAATTTTAATTCAACAGCATGTGTACCAGTGGGGAAAGATGCTGCCATTGCCTCCTCCCCACTGGAACTGAGGGATCTATGTTGTAAGTTATGCAAACATCATCTCCCTACTTTGATGGGAAGTCAAAGCAGGACAGGCTTCCAGCCTGTGTTGTTTTAGAGGGATCATTTGTAATTCATCACATTTTCCTCTGTGTGTGTCTTTACTTTATAGATAATTGGTTGCCTCTCATTTACTTATCACAGTGCAGTGCAATTTCAAAGCAACTGAGTCTGTCCAAAACAACATTATTAGTAGTTACAGATGTACTGTCAAGGGAGATCTTTGGCACTAGCATTTTTTAAAAGCCAGTATGATTTTAGCTACTGGACGATTGCTGATAGTCAGGAACAGCAAAGCAGACAAGATGGGACAAGGCTGCCTGTTTGTCCTATGCTCTATTCTGTAGATTATGCCTCTTAAAACCTATTCCACCATCCATAGAGTAGGTCTGCCCTTTGCACAAACAGCTTCCAGTGATAAAGCCTCAAGGGGTTCATGAAATAAATTTTGGGGGAAGAGGTAGCCCTGAAATTCAGCTTGAGAGGACTTAGTCTGGACCCCCATGGGGAGGGGACCTCATTTACAGCAATGAAATTGGTTGCCAACCTCCTTTGCTCATCCCCCAATTGATATGACCACAGATTTTCTTTAGCATGGAAAGAGATGATGATTCCCTTAAGACTAAATATTTGAATATGAACAT